AATGCTTTAATCACTACACCAAACTGGCTCATCTCAAGTTTAACATCTCCCATTGTGCCTGAATCACATATTTTTCTGTTCACACATTAAGGAAAAAAAACATTACTGTTTTTTTTTAAAAAAACTGGGAAAAATGTAGGGTTGGGAAACAACAGGCAGACACACCATTTTCTTCCAGCCTTATCCATAGTCCTTTTTTTCATGATTTGCTATATAGGGCTGATATTATTGGGGTCTGCAATATGGCAATAACAATGTTGCCATACAGTTGTAAGGAGTATAAAATTATTTATGTAAAACATCTAGAATGGTCAAAGCTGCTATTACAGTATTTATTCACCAGTGAGCTTAGATATTTTTCTTTAGATCTGTTTTTCAGTTGCTTCTGACTCTTGGTGATCATCATCATTGGACATCATTGTACCAGTACTGTGTGTCAGTAACTGCTTCTTTGAGTTCTTATAAGCTCATACTTGTGTCCTGTAACCACCTTATCTTATGTTGGCTTCTTTTTCAGTGCCTTTGATTTTTCCAAGCAGCAGGATCTTCTCCAATGACTCTTGCTGTTGCATTATGTGTCCAAAAATATTTAACTGTTAGCCTCATTATTAGTGCTTGCTTTTAGCAGTCTGGTTTTACTTCATCCAGTTCTGAATGATTTGTTCTTCTTCCAGTCCAAAGTATTCTCCACAATTTTCTCCAGCACCACAATTCAAAAGCATCATTTTCTTGGTTCAGCCTTTCCAGTGGTCCATTTTTCACGGCCATCTGTTACAACTGTGATAGCAATAGCCTTGACAATATTTAACTTGGATGTCAGTGGGAAGTCTTTCCATTTTAGTATTTTGTACTGACTTGTCATAGTCTTTCTGCAGGTCATAGATACCTCCTTTTTCATGACTAAAGTGACCAGTCTTGTGAATTTTTCAGCTTAGGAAGATAAAGTCTGTTACTGCTTCAACTTTTTCTCCACTTATTTACAGAAAAATAAGGCTGCCATTATCTACTGACACACAGTACTGTAATTTTAGGCTTGGTAGGAGGAGAGCTGTGTTAGTCTATGGTGGCAAAAAATAAGGAATCTAATTAAAAGGCATCTGATGAAGTAAGCTGCAGTTCAAGAAACTTGTAATAAAATGTTTTAGTCAGAAAAGGTGCTACCAGACTCCTGAATTTCTGACATAATTTAGTTTTGTTAGTATTGAGTAGCAGATGGGCTTTTTCACTCTCTTCATCTTCAACAAGGGATTCCTTAACTCTCCCTTGCTTCTGCCATCAAGGTATATCATCAACATATCTGAGGTAACTATTGCTCCCAGCAATTTTACAGTAATTCCAAATATTATTTCTTTTATTCCTTCATTTCTCATGATATATTCTGCATATAAGTTAAATAAAGTGAAAGCAGACAGCCTTGATGCACCTTTGTGCCAATATTGAATCATTTAGTTCCTCCATATTCCAGTCTAACTGTTGCTTCTGGTTATCAAACAAATTCTTCAACAGAATTTTAGAGGTGTGTTTAAGAGATAGCTACAACTTATTGTGTGGCGTACACAGTCAAAACCAAAAATAGACATGTTTAGAACTCCCTTGATTTTTCCATTATTCATTAGATGCTAGCAATGTGATCTCAAGGGCCCCTGCTCCTTCTAAATCTAGCTGGTACATCTGGCAGTTCTCTTTCCATGGACTGTTGAAGTTGGATTGCAAAATCCTGAGCATTGTTTTATTAGTGGGTGAGATAAGTGCAATTGTTTGGCAGTTTGAGCATTCTTTAGTATATTGCAGATTTATTTTGCAAACTTCTTAACGTCTGTTTCAGTTTTCACAACAAAGCCATACAGGTAGTCCTTGCTTACCAACCATTCGTTCAGCAACTGTTCAAAGTTACAACGGTGCTGAAAAAATAACTTTATGGCCCATTTACAACCATGAATGACGTTCACAGCATCCCTCAGTTGTGTGATTGCCATTACAGTCAGTATACATTGTCTTGTGCCTGACCTGTGTTTTTTTTTCTTTTTTCCCCCCTTGCAGAGCAGATTGATTGGAGAAAAAGGGATTGCAAGAAAGTAAGCTGTTTGTTCTTCTACACACGGAAAGCAATGTGATCGTGTTGACAGCAGGAAAGAGTCAGGCAAAGGAGAGACTCCCTACAGAAATCGCTTGCTTTTTTTCTACCCATCCCCCTCGCATAGTGGAGAGATAGGAGAGAAAGAGATTTCAAGAGACTTCTGTAAGCTGTTTGGTAACATGCCTGCGGTTCCCAGCCCCAGGTTGCGCTGTGATCACTTTGCTTTCAGTGTGTACAAGACAGTAAGCAGGCACTCAAGCTTTCCAAAGGGCAGGGGAGTGGTTAGGAGGCAAACAAAAGCTGATGGTATGAAACTGAGTAGTCTTGTCTCTTTCCATCCAGAAAGCATGGTGACGGTCATGTGATTTCCCATTTAGCGACCACTTCACTCAGCGGTGGAGTTGCCAGTCCCAATGAGGGACATTAAGTGAGGACTACCAGTATTCCTTTGGAAATGGCTTGTTAACTTTCTGATATTGAAAGTGTATTCATTTTCTTAAGCTTTTAAGGTGCAAACTTAATTCACTTTTTAATATTAAAATTTAAGGGAAATGTCACTGTTCAGTTAATACAAATTCATTCTACTCTCCTTCCCACTTGGTTTTCTGATTTTTCCCTTAACATTTTCTGCAGCTACTCAGTTTTAGTTCTTTTTGAGGTATTCCTCCATCCATGGGTTTGGTTTTTTCCCCAAGTTAGTTTTTAACTCCTCCACATTTAAGGTTTTACCAAGTCTCTGATACTTCCCTCTTAAGAATGATTGTTGCCATTTTGGCTTTGTAAATACTGACACTTCTGAATGGTGGAAACAGGAACTTTTAACATCTTCCAGAGGAATAGCCAAATAATGAGCCTTGAAACACTGATCTGCTCTTGTTTCTGATTTGTTGCATGAAGAAAAACAAAAAAAACATTTGACCAAATGCCTTGTAAAAACTGGACTACTGTACCAATTTCTAGAAGCTACCAAGAATCCTCATAGAAACCATTTGCTGCTTAGATCCAAAGAATCCAGAAATTAGCCATTCATGGCCATCAAAGCACAGCCCCTATCACAAATATATACTTTGTATATGTTTGTAAATATTTGGCTGATTACAGGAAAAAAATGAAAAATCCTAGCAGAATCCTAAGAGCATCAAGCCTATTCCATTGAACTATCTCAGAGGATGTCTTTGGATTCCAGCTATGACACAATATTGAACATATTGAGACTAGAAAGTGTGATCTAGCCAAATTAGTGAGATAAGCACCTGCTTAGCTCTCTCATATTAAAATCAATGGGACTCAGCTAGGTCAATATTCATTCACTCCTACAGTTGGATTGTTCCTTTTATTTATTTATTTTTCATTTATCACTACTGTGTTGTTGTAACTGACTTCAATCTGAATTTCTATGATCGTTTAAGTGGAAAATGCTGCTAGGCAACATTTGATTATTTAAATTGTCTAAATGTTTAGATATGGAAAATGTATCTTGTTTTTTTAATATGTTGTGAAGAATGGAACTGCTTTCTGTAGCCCTTTCCTTAAAAAGATATATTCATACATTATCAATCTAAATTGAAGAAATATACATAGATGGCATTTTATTTTTAGGGTGATCCTGTGAAGAAAACGGATATCTTTATTGCTGTAAAAACATGCAGGAAATTCCATGGAGACAGAAGTAAGTTCTGGATTTAAGAGTATATTTACATAATTTTTTTCTGAAGCTGCTTTGAAATGAATAGCTGGCCTTTTTGGCTTAGCATATTCGCTTTTTGAACTTTTTACATAGGAAATGGTTGTGAGAAAATTAATCAGAAAAGAAATTAGGAAGGAAGTTGAAGTTTGCATTGAAAGTATAAATCCACAGTTTTCAGGAGGGAGAATTATATCTGCTGCCTTTAGCTTCTCAAGGAAAGGGTGGGATATAAATATAACAAAAAAAATGTTTATTTATTAAACATGTATACAGTATATGAAATTAGAGCCTTTTCTTTTTTTTAGATGCTTTGGGTACATAAGACTGAGAATCTAGAATATTCCTAAAGATTAAATCCATGAATTTACCCCATTTCACCCAAATAATTTCTGTAATTATGTGATTCTCATTGACATTCCTGATAAAAGCTAATAGCAGGTTATCTCTAATGATGTACAGTAGGAGAAAATATTAATGAGTGACTCTGTATTTTTAGTTGAAATATATTTTTAATGTATAGATGGAAATGAATAAAACCTGTGCATACAATAATGTGTTTTATAAACCTACTATCTAAATGTTAAATGTTAAATTTTAACCAGAGTTTTGCTCGAAGTGAAGAACATCTTTGGTCCACATGAAGCATCAGTAGCTTCTTCCTTCTCTAATGACAGCTCTTTGAAGCATGAAGAATTTTCCTTTCATCATATCTGTCCTCTATTTCATGCATCCCTTCTATGTCAAACAGTGACTAGTTTGGTAGGCTGTATTGTAAACTAATCTAATTATGCCCATGTTTGAAGAAAATTGCCTTCAGCATTTTTCTCTGCCTTCAAATCATAACAAAGATGTATTGATCTTATTGTCCCTATAAACTGTGTTCTATCAATGTTATACACAGATGATAAGTGATCTTCAGACATTAGATTTATTCTTTGATAGTCTTTTGGGGTGATGAGGGAATTTATTTTCTTAGTACCGTTATTTCACTCATCACTGGTTTTAATTAGAGCATAGCCAAATTTTGTCAGATTATACTTTCTGAGAATTAAGAATTAAGGCTCTCCTTAATTTTCTATGGTGTCCTCATGCGATTACTACAAAGATCTAGAGCAGTGCTAGATCAAGAGCATTAAGGAGGACACAAAATGGTGACCAGAATATTACTAATTGCTGCAACCACTAAAGAAAAGCAAAAAAGTTATGCTGTTGCAAATACCTAATGGCCATTTCTGCAATTTGTATTTTCAAAAAAAGTTCTGTTAAAATGAATCCATATACCCCTTCACATTTGCTTTTTAAACTTCTCAGCTCTTTTTGAAGATAACCACCGTTTTATTGGTCTTCAGATACCTCTCAGCCTTTCACTCTTCCTTCGTATATTCTCATCCCTGCTTTACTTCCATCACATTCAGTAACCAGACCTTAACTGCATAGTCATGCAAATTATTCCATAATACAGGTCTATTCATTGTATCATATGCTTTCTCTGAATCGACACATAATAAACTTTCTTTCTGACATTCATACATTTCTTAATAATCTGTTGAAAAGCAAAAATCTGGTGTACACATCCCTTGCCCTGGCATAAAGGCAGGTTGTATTTTCCAGTCCATAAGCAACCGCATACATATTTTAACATTTCCGCAGCTTCCAACATTCTCATAGTGTTTATGCCTTCCTTTTCATCGTTTTTTTTTTCTTTGATGCTAACATTTATAGCATTAATTTCACACTGTTCTATGCAAATTAGGATCTCTAATCTCAGGATTACTTTGCAAATCAACATACTATGGCCTGCATCCCACCAACTAGGACGGGTTTCAAATTCATATCATCACAGTGCTGCATGTGAATTAGTTCATTAGCCAAGTGCTGCAAACACAGAAGCCACTTCATATGTTGGTACAACAGTCTCTAAATTCATGTGATATGCATAAAAAAGAATGCTGCGTAGAATCCACTCAAATGTCTGTAATTGTTCTATATTATTATTATTGCATAGCAAGTTGTGCACTGAATCTTTCCAAATAGCAGTGCTAACATCAGCTGAGGTCTTCAGGGGTTCAATGCCAGTAGAGCTTGGTCTGTTTCTCAAGATGGGAAGGGCTCTGTAATTGTTCTATATTATTATTATTGCATAGCAAGTTGTGCACTGAATCTTTCCAAATAGCAGTGCTAACATCAGCTGAGGTCTTCAGGGGTTCAATGCCAGTAGAGCTTGGTCTGTTTCTCAAGATGGGAAGGGCTCTGTAATTGTTCTATATTATTATTATTGCATAGCAAGTTGTGCACTGAGTCTTTCCAAATAGCAGTGCTAACATCAGCTGAGGTCTTCAGGGGTTCAATGCCAGTAGAGCTTGGTCTGTTCAACAAGATGGGAAGGGCTCTTGCATGGAGAGCAGCCAAGAGCAGCAAAGGCACCTTCCCAACCTTCTCCTACTAGAGCCAGGCTCAGGCACTTGCCCTGCACTGCAGGCCTTTCCTCCAGCTGAAACCCCCCGGAAGGTGAGGAAGCAAGGTTTTCACAGTTTGAGCCTTGAACTGCTTTATTCCCACACCACCACCACCACATCTCTTCTTTTCTGCAGCTTTAGCATGAGAAGCATGGCTTTGTACTTGGGCCTGGAAGGCTGAGGGGCAGTTGTGCTCCTAATTCTACATCAGGGCACTGTTGTAACCAGGGCCAGGGCCCGTTTTGACCACTGTACTGCACTCTTTCTTCCTACAGATCCAGAGTGAGAAGTGTCCTAGTGCCTAAAAAGTTACTAAGTAATACAGTGCCCACCCCACCCCCCAAGGGAATTCCAAAACTCTGGTGCCATGGCATCACAGAAAAGACCCCCTAGTAATGAATTGCTTTTCAGTAAAAGGAAATAAGTGGATTGTTATTTCTGATAGTAATTATAAGAAAATGGAAATCATGTCTCTATGTGCAGTGGTGTCTAGGTCACAAAAGCAAAGCAATAGATGTAACTATGATTGCTGTTTCAGACATTGAATCATACTACAAACTATGGTTTGAAGCTCCTTTAAAGTAGTTACAAAGCAAATGTTATGCAGTTCAGAAATTACACTGTATTTGAGCTTCTTTCAGCCAAAGTTTGACCTAATGTCTGAATTATGAGATTGTGTTGGACATAGGACGTCAGATAATATTTTACAGAATATTAATTGCTTTCAAAAGTTAAAAATTAGATTAATTAGAATTAACACATTTTATTTTGAAACACCTAACCATATCAAACCTGAATGTTGCATTGGATTACTCTTTTGCATATAACTAATTTTTTGATGCTATGAAATTATTAGTGTATAATTGGAATTCGCTGAAGAATGTTGTACCAAATCCATATAGGGATATTATTTTTAATATTCTTGATTTCTTTTTTTAAAGAAGTTTAACTTAATTATTAATCATTAATTTAAAAAGATAAATCCAGGTTTGAAATTAAATTAGTTAATATCCTTTATGGTACGATTTAAAAACTGAAGAAAATACTTAAACTTTCCTCATGATTTCCAGTATTACATAGTAAAGGATAATCTTATTCAGAAAACTAAAAAATAAAAGGAAAATGAGAAAGAGAACCTTCTTTATCTAGTGAGGTGTTTCTCTTATTCGTCCAAACTTTTTTCCATGCAACATTAGCATTGGGGGTTGTTTTCTTTTGATGTTGTTTCTTTGTTTTTAAATGTTTTTAACAATTTGTAAACCACTCAGAGTTGCTGGGATTCAGGCAAGCATATACATTTAATAAACTATTATTTACATGAAAGTGATTAGGAAAAACAGTTATATTTCACTCTCCTTTGGAATTTCAGTTGATAATAATGCACTACCAAAATAACTATCTAGTTTTGTTGAAACTATTCTTTAGTTGTTGAAATGTTTCTTTATATCTGCCCTCCCACCTGTGCTTAGACTCTGCTTTTGTTCAAAAGTATGGAGGAGGGTGATAAAACCTCTTCTAAAAATAGAGGCCAACAATTTGTTTAAAATACATTCATTTGTCTGTTACCTCGGTCAGTCTTTGTTTTCATTGTGGCTTGTAAACTTCTGCAATTGTCATTGTATTTCCATCCAACAGGCTCCATTAGAGAGGCTCCTCTTTAGGAGGAGTGGCAACCCAGTAGCTAAGGTCTCCAAAAATTGTCTTAAACTACAAAGTCCTTCGAATTATCTGGAAAACAGTTAAGGATTTAAAAAAAAAAATTGCACTTTGAATTGGCCCTGGGAAGGCATTAGTAATCTGGGCAGTTGGTGCAGAATCCATAGTCTTTCCCAGCAAGAATGAAAATAGCAATATTCTGTACTTCTGAAGTTTTTAAGATACCTTCAAAAACAGCTATATTATATAGTCCAGTAGACATGTCTAACTGAGGCTAGGTCTTTCCCCAGTCACAGCTGATCACCAAAGGTATAAAGGCCTTCTTTTTCAAATTGTTTTCAGATCCTGTTCTGTTCTGAGTGTCATATCTATAGTGTACTTGAGCAATATAACCCCCTTTACTTTCTTGAAGAAAAAAATGGGTATAAATTTAACAATTAGGTAGAAACAAACAAGTGTTTACTTGTTGTTGTTCAGTCGTTAAGTCGTGTCCGACTCTTTGTGACCCCATGAACCATATCACG